GAAGAAGAAAGCCATTTAGGTTCCACAATATGATCTTCAACTTCTTCCCACCATTCTAAAGGAGAAAATCAGAAATTGCTTTCAAATCCTGAATTTGATTGTTAGAGAAGCAAATTATGGAATGAACTTAAAGAAGTTGTTAAGAATGAATGTGTAAAGAGACTGCCCAAAATGAAGAAAGAGAAGAAAGCAAACTAGATATCACAACAAAGAAAAGCCAAACCTAAGGGAGACAAAAATCTCAGGAATTTAACAAAGAGTTTCAGAGAACTATTAAAAGAGACAGGAAGCAGTATTTAAACAATGTTCATAAAGAGACTTAACAGAATGTGCAAACTATTGTACATACACACAGGAGTAAAATACTCCCAAATCTGTAATTGATTCAAGGTTTTGTTTTGTTTTTTAAAAAAGGGAGACAAGAACGTAGAAGAAAAAGAAGAGGGAGCTGTATTTGCTTGAAGAAAAAAGATAAAAGGAATCCTCAGCTAACTGTTTGCTCTACAGAACAGTGACACAATATTATTGATTCATGCCTAAAAAAGCCTGTTGTGACATCCATCATTTTATGTATTCTCACTTTATTAAGAGAGCAGAAAAAAATTAACAATGATAGAAGAAACATTTCCATTCCATTCCACTCCACTTTCCCTGTAATTAGCTGAAATATAAGAGATTTTAAAGGAAAGTGTTCTAATTTTATGACAACACATAGCAAATAAATAGTTACGAAATACAGAATTCTCAGCATTCACACCAAATTAGAATCATACGGTAGTTTTCTATGTTATAAAAATGAAATAATAACTGTTACCTTGCTTCAAGGACTGGTTTAATATCTTCCATCAGTTGAGTCCTATGTCCAAATTCATCCTGGAAATCTAGAGGAATACTGAATGGATGCCCTATCCGAAATGGAAGGTCCAAATTACCTATTGTAAACTTCTGAGCTTTGCCTTCTGAAGAAACGAAAAGAAAAAGTCAACATCTTGGTGGAGAGTGGAATTTTTCAATCACACTGTTGATGGCTCTACTCACTTTTTGCTATCTTCAACAGCTTTCAGTTATTAATTTTGTCATATATAAAATGAAAGAGAATTTCCCTGTTATCTGAATTAAAGGCTAATTTTATTTTATAAGGTAAAATTCTTGATGCATATCTGTAGAAATACTTTGTTTCCTTTATGTATAAGGCTTCAAATGAGGACAAAACATTGATCTGCACAGTGATTTTAAAAATAAATATATATTTTGAAATAAGATGTGTTCAGTACAATGAAAATTAAAGTAGAATTCTGCTATCAACAGAGTCAAATCTTCCATTCACTATATTAATGTACAGTTTAATGATATCCAGTTATTAATCACATTAAATGATCTCCCATGGGTCAGCAAGTAATGATAGTTCCCTAATGATTTGGGCATATCTTACTTACAATATCATATCTCACTAATCTCAGTATACTTATCCTGGGTTAATATTAATACTGGGATAAATGTAAAGATGAATTGTGATGAACAGTTTAGTTTAGTTTACTTTATTGTCATTTCACCTCGTACAATGAAATCGAACACCATCTTCAGTGCACATCAAGACCATGACCATGAAAATAAACACAAACACATCCTTCACCCTTCACACATTGAACTGGAAACCCCCGACACCACACCAACACTGCACTATACAGCAGAATTCAAAAGAGCTACTGCCCTGGGATAGAAGCTGTTTTTCAGCCTATTTGTCCTTGTTTTTATTTTTCTGTACCGTCTGCCAGATGGCAATAGTTCAAAAAAAAAGGATTCCCAGGATGAGATGGATCTTTGAGAATGTTTTGAATTTTCTTAAGGCAGCGGGAGCTATAAAGTTCTTCCAAAGTGAGGAGAGGGCAACCAATGGTCTTCTGGGCCATGACATTAACCCTCTGGAGTGCTGTCCTATATGCCACTGTGCAATTGGCAAACCATACAGAGGTGTAGTATGTTAAAATGCTCTCTATGGTGCAGCGTTAGAAGGTCACAAGCAGTTTTTCATTCAGTTGTTGTTTTCTGAGAAGTCTCAGGTAATATATTCTCTTCTGGGCCCTTTTGACCAGGGCTGCAGTGTGGGTACCCCAGGTCAGGTCCTCTTTTAGGGTAACACCCAGAAACTTAAAACTGGCCACTTGCTCCACTCGGTCTTCATTGATAAGCAAGGGCTGGATGTCTGATCTGTTCCTTCTGTAATCCACTATAAGCTCCTTGGTCTTATTGGTGTTGAGCAGTGATCCCCAACCTTTTTGACGCCGCGGCCCGGTACCGGCATCAGCTGGGCGCCGCAGCCCGGTACTGGCATCAGCTGGGCGCCGCCATCTTTTTTTGATGAAAAAGTGCTTCCGGTGAAGTCACCGGAAGCACGTTTTCATCAAAAAAAGATGGCGGCGCCCAGCAAGCCGCGGCCCGGTAGGAGTTGTTCTGCGAACCGGGACCGGTCCGCGGACCGGTGGTTGGGGACCCCTGGTGTTGAGGACCAAGTTATTGTCTCCACACCATGAAAGCAACCGGTCCACCAGAATTGTACCCAAGAGTTCTGGGGGGGGGGGGGGGAATAATATTTTGGCATAGTGCTATGGATTTATTGTATTTCAGTGTCAACTTAATTGCCAAAATGTTTACAAAATTTATTTATTAAGAAAAACAAAAACAATATAATGATATTAATTGTTTATAATTTCTGATACTGCTCAGTTTTCTGCGGCTGCATTAAGATAATTCTCCAAATAATACAATAGAGAGGCTCAAAGCTCACCTTACCCTTCGATGTTTGTGATTTTGGTTCACCAAGTATCATGGTTTTGTTAAATAAAATTTACTCAGGTTAAATAGCCTATGGTATTTTAAAGAATAGCAGTAACACATGGTACATGAAATGCATAATTATAACAGTTGTTTAAGGCAAGCTATATGTAAAGACAAATTCTACAGTATATACTGATAGAATATGTAGCAATGTTTATTTTCTTCTTTGTTTTACAGAACAGAAATAGACTGTCAAGAGTAAAACATGGAGTTACTTTCACAATTCAACATCTTTAAATTGCAGCTTTTTTCTCCCTGGGATGAACTGAGATAAACAAAAATATGATAATACTATATATTTATTTTAGGGAAATTGTGTTTCACTTTTAGAATTAATAGTTCAAATGAAAGACAATACTATTTACATAATTATGCATATTCCCAAAAAGAAAAAATCAATGCTAAAAACATTCAGTTGATCAGTTTTTCAAGTATTAATCATACTTTTAATATACATTCCTAATATTTCTATGTTGCTTTTTCTTTGGAAGCCACTCTTCTTACATACAGTAAAATGAAAGCTAAATGTTTTTTTCTCCACTGACTGGAAGAATTATTATTTGGAGAACTACCCAAATACTTAGCTCATTTATATTTTAATAACATTTTCAAAAATGCTTTCAATGTATTACCAATAGTCTTTGCTTAGCGACTGAAGTTACAGCAGACCTCAGTAGAACTACTTACAATCTATTTTCGACACAGGCAGATGATAGCATTTTGGAAGCTTGTCAACTGGCTTGCAGTTATGACCATTTGCAGTGTCCTGTGGTTACATGACTGCAATTTTCAGCAATTTTTTTTGCCAGTTTTCAGCATTTACTTACTGTTTCTGGCAAAAAATGTCCATTGCATACAATGGATTTCTTTTAATGACCATAGCGTTTCATTGATGACAGGCATAAAATCAGGCATGGTCAGGTGCTGAACCATTTAACAATTGTCACAACTTACAACCTTAATTCTGGACTCAATTATGGTTGCAAGTTGAGGATTACCTACTGTACATCTCATTGCATAAAAATATGAAATCTGTTACATGTGAATAGAACACGTGAAAACAGAGAATATCAATTAAACTTGATTAAACCAAGGACCCCTCATTCCTGAGCTATAAATGTTTGCCTTTATTAGTAAAAACTATGAAGGGTCCTTGGTACTCTCTGAGCTTGTTTTTTTGCAGACGTTTCATTACCCAAACTAGGTAACATCATCAGTGCTAGTAAAAAGTGCAATTTGCTATCAGTTTATTCTAGAATATAATTCATAAAACGTTCTAGAATATAAACTGACAGCAAACTGCACTCTTTTCTAGTACAGATGATGTTATCTAGTTTGGGTAATGAAATGTCTGCAAGAAAACAAGCAAGCTCAGAGAGCACCAAGGATCCTTCATTCCTAAGCTATAAATATTTGCCTTTATTGGTAAAAACTTACCTATTACACGAAATTTAAATGTTTTAGATGGAAGAGGGATTCCTGCACAAGTGTCTTCATTACTTTCATTCAACACCACTTGCAAATTTAGCGTGTAGTTTCCAAGGTCAACAATATTTTCTGTGTATAATCAGACATAAATGTTAAATTTAAGATATCAAATATTATTCAACTGTAGGCTATACTAAAACAACAACAACACTACTTACCCATTTTTTTGAACCAGTAAGCCCAGTTTTGTGAATGTTGACTGGTATGAGAAATGAGTTCCTTCTTTTGACCAGAAGCTTACAGAAAAACAAAGACATTATTATACTATAAATCAATCTGTTATTAATTCTAATCCATTTGGAAATTTTTTGAAGACAGATAGGTAGATAAATAGATACACACACACACAAACACACACACACTGTATATGTGTATGTATGTACCCATTTCCCCGAAAATAAGACCTGGTCTTATAATTTTGGGGGCTCCAAAATAAGCACAAGGGCTTATTTTTCGGGAAACATGACTTCAGGGTGATCAGCCCGGCTCAGTGCCCCATCCCCCAGCCCATGCACAAGAGGCGGAAAGCGTGCATCTTATTTTGGGGGAAATACGGTATGTATGTAAATATGTAGAAATAGATGGACAGACAGATAGATTTGGGTTGTTAAGTAAGACTATCTTTAATAAGCTGAAATAAAACCAATTCAAACATTTAAGAATGGAAAAGCTAATCTATTTTCATTTAAGAACTAAAATAACAAATTTGTTCTTAAAGTGCATTAAAAAGCAGCAATAGGTTGATATTATCCTAGGAGGGGAACTTCACTGAATAGATAACTTAACTGTGAAAGCCTTTTCTGTAGCATTTGTGAGTGTTTACTATCCTTAGTAGCAGGTTAGTAAACAGAGCTTCTGAAATTTCTTAACATGGATAAACAAGGATAAACTGTTCATACAAGGTTAACTGTTCATTAACATGTTCATACAAGGATAAACTGTATTTCAGTCCATTTTTTAAATTTGGGTCAATTTTTAAATTTAAAATATTTTTTGGGATAAGCTTTGACTTGCAAATAAAGAAGGGAAGGAAGGAACTCAAAACCAGAGTGCAAAACTAGAGGAAAGAAATGGTAGGCAAATGCCAGTGAAGAAACAACCTGGTTTGGCACGATACATGAAGGTAGTATGAAAGGCAAACTCTAACACTCATTTTCTAATTACAATTACTTTGACAACACAATATTATATGAAATCATAAAAACATTCAAGAGGATTTTTTATTTTTTTTAATTCTGACTTTATTACTTTTATAAATAACTCAAAGCAGCAAACATACCTAAACTCTTTTCTCCTATTTTCCCACAATAAGTCCCCTATGAGTGAGGGACTGATCCAAAGTCACTTAGCTAGCTTCATGTCTAAAGCAGGATTAGAATTTAGTTTCTGATTTCTAGCCTGGTGCCTTAACCACCAATTCTAAACTAATGCATATTCATGGTGTCAAGAATGTAAGATAAAACATAGTGACATCATTCACATATTTATTAGCCACAATCTCATATAAATTACACTAAGTTGTTATGCATAACCAAAGCAGTTATAACAATAACTTGTAAAATATGTATATGCATATTTTTGGTTTCATAAAATATTAGTATGTTATAATGATAAAAAATCCACTTATTGAGGGATTGTGATAACATGGATCCTTGCGTGGCTGTGGGTGAAATTTCTTGAAACGATATACATGGCTGAAGACAAGAAGCCTGTAAAAACTTACCAAAGAATATACTGATTTAGTATACACAAGTGACTGTTATGCAAAATACTATGCAAACTACAAAATGTTACATAAATTAATATGTATACCTATCTTCTTTTTTAAACTTTAACACCTGGTAGATATTATTTAAATCTGCTTGATGACTAACAGAGGTATATTTATTCTATCCATGTATTTATAGTTAAACATAAAGTATTACTTAACTATGTCTCTGCCCACTTTTCAAAGGCAAAATTGTAATGCCTCACAACACTTACTGCAATTTTGCCCTCAAAAAATGGAATGAAAATGAATACAGGTTGTCCTAGACTTACAACTATTCATTTAGTGACCGTCTGAAGTTACAACGGCATTGAAGAACTAATGACCATTTTTCACACTTACAACTGTTGCAGCAACCCCATGGTTAGGTGATCAAAATTTGGATGATTAGCAATTGGCTCATATTTATAACAGCTGTTTCTTGGGTGTGAACCTGTGATCACATTTTGTAACCTTCTGACAAGCAAAGTCAATGATGAATCCAAGTTCACTATACAGGCATGATACTAACTTAACTGAAGTCATTCATTGAACAACTTTGGCAAGAAAGATCATACAATTTGATAAAACTCACTTAACTGTCTCACTTAGCAACATAAATTTTGGGCTCAATTGGAGGAGCCTCCTCGCTGACAGGACGTAGATCACGACTCTTTGCGGCTATGGTCTGTGCTCTTTCATTGGAGAGCCCCGATCATTACTATTAGGGGCTGAAGCTGCCTTGGAGGGGCTGCGGAGTAAGGGGAAGCCGCAAGCCAGGTTGAGGGGAGCTGCATCTCCCCCCCAGGCTTGGTCTTTTTCCCCCCCGAAGATGACTGCAGCGGTGGTTTAAAATGGCCACCCCGAAAAGTAGGACTCAGCTGGATTAAGATTTGTGCAGGAGGGAAGAAAGAGGTGGATAACATCTGAACCGGGACAACTGGGCAATACAACTAAACAAAAGTACCCCGGGATTAAGGTAACATGGAATTTTTAAGAAAAGAAA